CTTGGAATCGGGAGCCGCCATGTTGAAGGCGGGCGCCGCCATCTTGGAATTTGGAGAGCCGTGTTGGAGGCGGAAACCGCCATCTTAAAATCGGGAGCCGCCATCTTGGAACTGGAAGCGCCATATTGGAGGCGAACGCCGCCATCCTAGAATCGGGAGCGCCATGTTGGGAGCGAGTGCCGCCATCTTGGAAGTGGGAGCAGCCATGCTGAAGGCAAGCGCTGCCATCTTGGAATTGGGAGCGCCATGTTGGGAGGGAGAGCCGCCACCTTGGAATCGGGAGCCGCCATGTTGAAGGCGGGCGCCGCCATCTTGGACGTCGGGGCGCCGTGTTGGAGGCGGAAACCGCCATCTTAGAATCGGGAACAGCCATATTGAGACTGAGTGCACCATGTTGAAGGCGGGCGCTGCCATCTTGGGATCGGGAGCCGCCATCTTGGAATCGGGAGCCCATCGTGCCCCACAGCCCGGCCCCGCACATCCCATAATAACCGCACGCACATCCCATAATAACCCCACACGTTTATTTTCGGAAGGCGTCCCGTTTGGGGTCAGGAACGGCCGCACGTGGGGCGCAGCCGGAGGTGGGGGGGCACCGCGGTGACGTCAGAGGCACCCGTGGTGACGTCATCGCTGCTGACGTCATCGTTGGCACCGGCGGGGACGTCATCGGGGGCACGGGGCGGCCCCGCGGCGTCGGGGTCTGGGGGGGGGGGAAACGGGGGGGTGTGGGCACGGAATGGGGAGCCCAAAATCTATGGGGTGAAACCCCCCAAAGTGGGACCCCAAAATGGGACCCCGAAAATCTATGGGGTGACCTTAAAATGGGACCCCAAAATGGGAACCCAAAATCTATGGGGTGACCTTAAAATGGGACCCCAAAATGGGACCCCAACATCTGTGGGGTGACCTTAAAATGGGACCCCAAAATGGGACCCCAACATCTGTGGGGTGACCTTAAAATGGGACCCCAAAATGGGACCCCAACATCTGTGGGGTGACCTTAAAATGGGATCCCAAAATCTATGGGGTGACCCCTAAGAGCCCAATATCTATGGGCTGTGACCCCACAAAATGGGACCCGTCCCAAAAAAAGTGTGGGACCCCAAAATTCTATGGGGTGACCCCAAAGTGGGGCCCCAAAAGGGGAACCCCAACATCTGTGGGGTGACCGTAAAACTGGACCCTAAATCTATGGGGTGACCCCAAAATGGGACCCCAAAATCTATGGGGTGATCCCCAAGTCAGAGCCCAATATCTATGGGCTGTGACCCCAAAGTGTGGGACCCCAAAATTCTATGGGGTGACCCCAAAGTGGGGCCCCAATATTTATGGGGTGTAATCCCACAGAGTGGGACCCCGACAGATACTGTTGTGTGACCCCAGAAATCTGTGGGGTGACCCTAAAATCGAACCCCATGGGGTGACCCGTCAAAGTAAGATCCCAATACCTGTGGGGTGACCCCAAAGTGGGGCTGCCCCCCAAAATGGGACCCCAAAATGCACGGAGTGACCCCAAAGCGGGACCCCCAAACAGGGGACCCCAATATGTGTGAGATGAAACCCCACAACGTGGGGGCCCAAAATCTATGGGGTGACCCCAAAGTCAGAGCCCAGTATCTATGGGCTGCAACCCCAC